AAGCATCTAATTCAAAAATTATTAATAATATAAATTTAAAAAAGAACCATATTAAATTTTCTAAAGAAGAAATTAAGTTTCATAGAATTTAGGAACAATTACAAAATTCTTTAATTCAAGAGAAAATTTCAAACTTCCAAAAACAAATTGAAAAAGAAATCTGTTCAACCATTCCAAATGCCTTTTGGAATAGGAAGAAACATGTTGTTTCTCTTCCTTATAATTTTGATTTCGATGAAATAAAAATTCCTACAAAATCTCGTCCTATTTAAATGAACAAAGAACTCTTAGATCATTGTATCAAAGAAATTAAAGATTTACTTGATAAAGGTCTTATTCGTCCAAACTAATCTTCTTGAAGTTGCTCTGTATTCCATGTCAATAATTTTGCTGAAATTGAATGAGGTGATCTTCATCCGGTTATTAATTACAAACCTCTCAATAAAGCTCTTCAATGGATTAGATATCTATTACCTTAAAAGAAAGACATATTAAAGTGGTTATCTTCTCAAAATTTGATATGAAGTCAAGTTTCTGACAAATTCAAATTAAAGAAGAAGATAAATATAAAAACTGCTTTCAATGTTTCTTGTGGTTAATATCAATGAAACATTATGTCATTTGATCTAAAAAATACTAATTCTGAATTTCAAAAAATTATGAATAATATTTTAAATCATTTTTCAAATTTCATTATTATTTATATCGATGATGTTCATATATTTTCTGAAAGTATTAAACATCATTTCAAACATTTTAATACATTTATTCATATAATCAAGAAAAATGGTTCAACAAAATTTGCTAAGAAAACTATTTTATTTCAGACAAAAATTAGGTTTTTGGGACATAACATCTATATATGAACCATTACTCCAATTCAAAGAAGTTTAGATTTGGTGATAAATTTTCAGATGAAATTTTAGATAAAACAAGTTTGTAGCAATTTTTAGGCTTTGTTAATTATGTTGCTGATTTTGTTAAAAATGTATGTCAAATCTGTTCCTCATTTTTTAAAAGATTACAAAAGAATCCTCACCTATAGACTCAAGAGCATACTAGAGCGGATTGAGCGAAGATAAATCAGCCTAAAGAAAGATTGAGAAAACCTTGTATTTTTAAACTTTCTTTTAATTTTTCTAATTCAATCTTGTAATTCAAAGTTCTATTTCAATCTTCTATTATCAATTTCTATAGTTCAATAAAATAATTTCTTAGCTTCAACATTTGTCTATTTCTACTTCTATTCTATATCACTTGGGCTATTTTGGTATCAGGGCCATAAGAGAGTGAGGTGAGGTTTCAATAATTTTTCATTATAGGCATGGTTCAATAGGAGAAAACTGGTTCAAACCTGGTTGCCTGCTGAATAGCGTTGGTCAACCCATGTTTTGCCTTTGTCGACGTGTTTGGGTGGTCCCATTTAGGCTTAGTAAGAGTTAATCTATTCTATTGTATTGTTTTTATAGTGTTGAATTATTATATTTTGATTTTATTTAATCATGTCTTTGATTTCAAATTGGTCAAGGAAATCTAGGAATAGATCTAAAAATATTTCAAATATTTTTCAAAATGAGGAAGAATTAGATCAAGCATCTGCATTAAATGAATTCAATAGTCATGAACTTCAAATTGCTCAAATTGAACAAATATGGCATATCTAGACCATTCCAAAGGTAGAGAAAAAACTCTATCTATGAAATAGGTAAATTTGATTTTACTCAAAGTTATATTATCAAAACTTTTGAACAAACTTTACCTATTAAGAGTTAAAATGCATTTATCAATGTTATTTCAAAAGAATCTATTGAAACTTACAGGAAGAAATTTAAATATCTTCATGTTTGATTAGTTCAAATTGCTGTCAAACCATTGTTTCGACTTGGTTTAAATATTCCTATTCTCTTAACTCTTAGAGATAATAGACTTCTTGAATTTGAAATTTCTTTATTATCTATTTTAAAGTCAAATTTAGAAAGTTGTCCTGTTTATTCAAATTGTTATCCAAAATTTTCTATTAATCTTAATGATGGAGCCATTCGTAATGGTCTAAATCTTCATATTTAAACAAAAAAAAAAAATCTTGATTTTGATGATCGTTCAAATGCCTTTGCTGTAATATATAGAATATATTACAAACTCATGAACACTTAACTCAATATTTGTGCTCTTCGTTTATCTCCAAAAGATGAAAGTTTTTGGTTGAATTCAATCATTTTCATTCAAATATCATGATTCGCAAGAGAGTTCCTAGGAATTTTCAATCTAGAGGACCTGAATGGAATTTTGAATGATTTTTTTCGTTTTTGAAGTTGATTTTTTATTGTTAACTTTGAAATATGTTCACTCATAAAAACTTAAAATTTTTTAGGGAACTCATAAAATTCTTCCAAAAAAGATTCTCTTTCTTCTTTTGAAAAAGTTGATCAAATTTTTTTTTTTTTAAGAATTTTGACATCAGTAGACCGATTAGTTTTAAATTCATTTCTTTTATTAATATTAGAAGAAATAACATTACATTCATGATCAAGTCTCTCATTTTGAGAAGGGGGTACCATATCCGATAAAGTTGGAGAATCAGGTTGCTCTGATTCTTCTTCTTTTTTCTTTATATTGCGGTTTTGGAATATTAGGATTGAAATCAACTCCCGAAAGAAAAGATGTTGAATATCTAGCAGATTGAAAAGAAGATCTAGGTCTATTTTCAGATATACAAGAGTAAGATCTTTGAAACCTAGAAAAAGATCATTTGAAAATCATTTTGACATTTCCATCTGGAAAAGTAAGAATTTGATTAGGAGTTGTTTGAACAAGAGCATAAATATGATTTTGAACATTTTCAAAATTTCATTTAAGTCCTCTAGATTGAAGATTCCAAGGAACTCTCTTGGGAATCATGATATTTGAATGAAAAGGATTGAATTCAACCAAAAGACTTTTATCTTTTGGAGATGAACGAAGAGCACCAATATATATATATATATATA